CTGCCGCTTCTGGGACCTGGCGCTGCGGGAGCACGCCGCCGTTAACCAGGTAACTGCCGCCCAACCGCCGCCACGCCCCGGGGGCGGGGCGGAGCCCCAAGCCCCGCCCCCTCAGGTCTCGGGAGGAGCGGCAGTGGCGGGGGGGGGGGGCCGCAGGGCCCCACGTGGGGCCGTTCCTGGGGGGGTGGCTCCAGGGCCTTCAAGTAGGGCCGGTGCCTTGCCTGCTCTTGGGGTGGGTTAGTGGGCAGTGGGATTGGGGGCTGAGTTGTCCTGTCCACTTTTTGCCTGCCTGGTAGGAGCTAGTGGGTTCCAACCCGCGGCTTGTCCTGGGCTAGAGGTGCCTAGCTGCCTCTGTGAGCCAGGAGCAGCTCCATAAGAGGCTGGTCAATCCAGAGTCTCTCCTAGAAGATGCCTGAGGCTGGAGGGTGCACAGGGAGGCTCAGAAAAAATGAACCTGGGTGTATCTCTCTATGCCATTAGGGGGCAGCTTATTGCTCTGCAGTTTATTGCTCGTTTACACGTGTGCCCTGGATTGGGGGCACATTGAGGCAGGTTGCAGCAGCCCCAGCTGGGAAGGAGTCCAGGGGGTCAGCCTGCCAGCCCAGGGCTGCGGAGGGGCTGGCTGGGGCCTAAAGGTGCTTCAGTGTCAGGGCAACTTGAATTGTAGCTCTCCTGCTGCCAAATTTCTGGACCCATGGGAAGCCTGGTGGGTCAGATGATGGTGCTAGATCACACTGGACTGGATCCGGATGCAGGGTCGCTGCCGCTGGATGTCATTCAGCTCACCACATCGCACCTGTGCATCAGCCCCACCTGCTGGGTCCAGCTCACAGGGGCAGAAGGTTTAAGTAAATGTGCCAATTCAAGGTGATTTTGTTAAACTGTCACTAAGCTCCGGTGTGGACCCCTTAGTACACGGTGAAAGTGGCATTCATTTTCTTTGGCATTGTCTGCTTTGGAAGCAAAGCAAGTAAAATCAAATGGAGGCCCGTTTAACACAGAATAAGTGTGTTTGCACAGGCATTTAATAGATCTATTTTAAAAATAAATCCAGATTACCGCTTCTGAGCATCCTCATGGAGACAAGCTGTGACTATCTTAGTAAAAGGAATACTGTAACTCAAGTAGAAGTTGCTGCATTTTGATGCCAGGTGCACTTTTTGGATAATGTAGACTACAATGCGATATCATCCAGCCCCAGGGCTCCTAGGTAGACCAGGAATTCAGGAGCGAGGATGAGACCTGCCACCAAATTCTAGAGTACAGAGCCGCTGGTGAGGGACGCGTGTCAGCAGTGGAGGGGAGATTCATAGATTCATAGATGCTAGGGTCAGAAGGGACCTCAACAGACCATCGAGTCTGACCCCCTTACTAGGCAGGAAAGAGGGCTAGGGTCAGATGACCCCGCCAGATGCCTATCCCGCCTTCTCTTAAAAGACCCCCAAGGTAGGGGAGAGTACCACCTCTCTTGGAAGCCCATTCCAAATTTTGGCCACCCTTACTGTGAAGAAGTTTTTCCTGATATCTAGCCTAAATCTGCTCTCTGTCAGTTTGTGGCCATTGTTCCTTGTTACCCCAAGAGGTCCCCTGGTGAACAGAGCATCTCCGATCCCTTTCTGTGTCCCCCTAATAAATTTGTAGGCAGCCACAAGATCACCTCTTAGACTTCTCTTGAGGAGGGTGAAGAGGTCCAGGTCCCTCACTCTCTCCTCATAGGGCTTGTCTTGTAAGCCTCTAACCATACGCATGGCCCTCCTCTGGACCCTCTCGAGTCTATCAACATCCTTCTTGAAGTACAGTGCCCAAAACTGGATGCAGTACTCCAACTGTGGTCTGACCAATGCTGCATAGAGGGGAAGTACCACCTCCTTGGTTCTATTTGGATCACCTTGAGAGGCTGGACACCTTCAAGTCAGCTGGTCCTGACAGGTTACACCCTAGAGTACTCAAGGAGCTGGCAGGTATCATAGCCCAACCATTGGCAAAATATTCAAAAACTCGTGGCGCTCAGGTGAATTACCTGAAGACTGGAAGAAGGCCAATGTGGTACCCATTTTCAAGAATGGGCGGAAAGTAGATCCTGGGAATTGCAGGCCAATCAGCTCGACCTCAATCCCCGGTAAAATTCTAGAGAAAATTATCAGAGGCCCTTCTTGATAAGCTGGCTGAGGGCAACATCCTGAGGGACAGCCAGCACGGGTTGTTGCTGGTCGGTCTTGCCTGACCAATCTCATCTCTTTCTATGACCAGGTGACATATCACCTGGACAAGGGAGAAGAGATTGACATCATATATCTGGACTTTAAAAAAGCCTTTGATCTGATGTCCCATGACTTCCTCATAGAAAAATTGGCCAACTGTGGTCTCAGCTACACCACAGTCCGATGGCTAGGAAATTGGCTCTGAGGTCGGACCCAGAGAGGTAGTGGTAGATGGTAGCGAATCATTATGGCGCTTTGTGACCAGCGGTGTCCCCCAAGGCTCTGTCCTTGGACCAGTTCTCTTTAACATCTTTATAAACGATGTGGACATTGATGTCAGAAGCGCACTGGCTAAGTTTGCCAATGACACTAAACTTTGGGGCATAGCGTCCACACCTGAGGACAGGCTAGTGATCTAGGCTGATTGGATAAACTTAGGTGGGCGGATACAAACCTGATGATGTTCAATACTGATAAATGTAAGGTATTCCACCTCGGGAGAAAAACCCGCAGCATATTTATAGGCTCAGAAGTGCTATGCTTGCTAGCACCACTGCTGAAAGAGATTTGGGAGTCATGATTGACCACAAGATCAACATGAGCCACCAATGCAATGTCACAGCTGGTAAAGCAAACACTCTGGCTTGCATCCATAGATGCTTCTCAAGTAAATCTCAGGATGTCATCCTCCCGCTGTACTTGGTCTTGGTGCGGCTGCATCTGGAGTACTGCATCCAGTTCTGGGCTCCACAATTCAAAGAGGATGTCAAGAAGCTTGAGAGAGTCCAGAGGAGAGCCACATGCATGATCAGAGGGCAAGAGAATAGGCCTTACTAAGAGACGCTAAGAGCCATGGGACTCTTCAGCCTGGAAGAATGCAGGCTCGGGGGACCTGGTGGCTGCTTATAAGTACATAATGGGTGTGTATCAGGATCTGGGAGAACGTCTGTTCACCAGGGCAACCCAAGGAAAAACAAGGACCAACGATCATAAACTCCTCCAAGACCATTTTAGGCTGGACATAAGGAAAAATTACTTTACTTTCTGAGCCCCCAAGACCTGGAATAGACTCCCTCCAGAAGTGGTGCAGGCATCTACTCTGGACTTATTCAAGAAGCGTTCGGATGCTTATCTTGTTGGGATCCTTTGACCCTAGCTGACTTCCTACCCCTGGGGCAGGGGGCTGGACTTGATAATCTTCTAGGTCCCTTCCAGCCCTACCATCTATGAAATCTATTTGTCATGCATCTGCTGATGCATGATAAAATGTGGTTAGCTTTGCTGATGATTTCATCACCCTGGGGGACCAAGGGAGTGTGGTGCCCATGGTTTAAGCCAGTTATAGTGGGTTTCTCAGGCAAATGGCTGTTTGTCTTTTTTGAATAGTAGAGAGTTAAGCCTTGCAGCACATACCAACCACTGTCCATGTGCAGGAGTTTCAGCTTAATGTCTGCAGCAGAGATATCTAGAAGGAAAAAAGCTCTAAAACTGAGAGATGCTAAATAGTTTCAAGGCTGCTGGTGATTGATGTCTGAGAGCCCTCAGTCTCACTGTCATCTGAATCAGGGGTGCTCCGTGGCCTGCAATGTCATGTCATCCAGCCTATGGGACTTCCTACGGGCCCAGAAATTTGGTAGCAGGCGAAACTTGCTCCCCACAAGCCCTGTGCACTAGATGCAGCACCTAATCTAAGTGCTCGGGCCTGGGCAGGGGTGATTCCAGGCCCCAATAGCAGCATGGGAAGGGGCAGTACTGGGTCTCAGGGCCCAATCCTGGTATAGGGAGGACAGGAGGAACAGTGCCAGCGCCCCAGGACCCAGTCCTGGTGTGGGGGGGTAGCGCTGACCCCGCCCAGGAACCCAGTTTGGCATGAAGCGAACCAATTGTGGTGCGCAGAGCGGGGGGTGGTCCCAGGCTCCCAAGGCCTGATCTGGTCTGCAGATGTGTCCCATGCCACTCATCTGGCTTCTGGGGCCAAATGATTGAGCACCATCGTTGTAAATGATGAGGTAACACTCTGAGGAGGCAGATAGTAGTGTGGACAACTGTGTATATTCTGCACAAAATAAACCTAGTGCATCTTAAGTGGTACCTTTAATGTTGAAGTCAATAGAAGATGGCAGACAGCTTATACTGTTTGCATAATAGCTGTCCACCTTAACCATAGACACCTTAAGCAGTTTTGTCTGTGTGTGGTTATAAATGCCCTCTTAATCCCTGAAATTTTACTTGTCACAAATGACTGTCAGTTCACAAAAAAAATGCCACTACAGATTAGGGATGTAAATATTGATTAAATAAGTATCCGTTTAAACCCCACTGATGTTATGGGTTAAGCGGTTATCTGCCAGGAACTGGGTAAAGTAGGTCTCGCTGCTGCTGCCTTCAGCCAGCCCCTGCCCCTGGGCAGGTGCACGCTGGCAGCAGCAGTGGGCTGGGAACTCCCTTGCCCACTGAAGTGCATAGCTGTTTGGGACTGGGGCTGCAAGCAGCTGCACCAGGGTCTGCAGAGCCCCGCCCAGGCTCGTTGCCAGCAGCAGGTGCACACGCCTCGGGGCGGACAGCAAGGAAGGAGCTGGGGCTGCGCTGCTACAAGAAAGATCAACAGCCCTTCTCAGCTCCCTTGCTGCTTTCTTGTCATACTAGGTACTAGTCCTCCCCCTCCTCATTCTTCCCTCACTCTGTCCTGTCTGCCCTTTTGCCTTCAGGAGCACTGCCAGAATGCTCTCCATCCCACACTAAACAATAATCAGTAAGGTATTACCAGTTATCAATATCACCGTTTAACCATTCACATCCCTATTACAGATGCCTTTTTTTCCTAAGGCATTAAAGTTGTTCCCTATAAAGCAAGGAAGTCAAAGATACTGTACCGACAGAGACCTAGTATCCAAGCCACAGTGGTGCCTGTGGGCACAGTGGTGCATGTGGGGCTGGTCTCTGACCAGCCCCACATGCAGCACATGCGTGAGACTGGCTTCATATGCTGCATGCAGTGCCCACACAAGCTCCAGCCTCACCTGCTGCTTGCAGCACGTGGGACCAGCATGTGGGCCCAGTACAGGCTGGCCTCATGCCCCTCATCCAGCCTACTAGGCAAGATAAAATTGATACCCCTGCCATAAAGAGAATTTCAGGACAGGACTGATGGATTGCATATTGCCCAGCTATAGCTTTTTCCTCTTTTGTATAATGATAACTATAGTTAGAGGTAAGCCCCTGTGATCTTTTTCATAGGCAACTATGTTCCTTTTTCGATCTTGTACTTTCACACTCATTAAAAGTCATTTTAGGCTTTGTGGGCTGCTGAAACGTGGTACAGCTACAGACATAAACACTCTCAAAGATGTGCCTGTGTTGACAGTACTGATCTAATGCTGACTTGTAGTGCTGCTGCCTTTTTTTTCACTGTTGCTGTAGTCTGAATGGATGTTAGCGTTGCACTGGAAAGCACCCTCATTTAGAAAACATGAAGGCCTTGAATGAAAAAGTTTTAATTCTTTGACTTTTGGATATGCCATATGAATGCAGTAATTTGATAGAAAGAGTCAGACTTATGTGCCATTGACGAATGTCTTCAGGCCCAGTTCTCCCTTGCCTCACTTCCATGTTAAGTAGCCCCTATAACCTGAAGTACAGTAGGTATGGATCAGGGGAATCATTCCTCAGGTCAGGCGGATGCCAGTTGGATATAGAATCTGTGGCACCTGTCTACCCCTCTCCTTTTCAATTTCTGGGCCAGTGTGAATGTCTGGAGAAGAAATTGCTATTCTTTTCTTCTTGTGAGTCGAGTAGAGTGTAAGTGATTCAGTATGGTAATTCCTGTATTTGTACTACCGTGTAAAGCAAGGATGTCAAATTAGCTGGCACACCATATTCCCTGCCAGCACCCATTGGGTTGATGCCACCGCTGCTGCTCAACCCCACTGCTGATGGTTGCTAATTTTCATAGTTTCATAGTTTCATAGTTTCATAGTTTCAGGGTCGGAAGGGACCTAATAGATCTTCTAGCCCGACCCCCCGCCAGGGCGGGAGAACAACCCAAAAACACAAACAAAACCACTCACCCTAAAAACAAAAACGGGACTCAAATGAGTCCAGCCAGGTAAGTATCCAGCCTCTTCTTAAAGATCCCCAGGGTAGGGGCCAGCACCACCTCCCTTGGAAGTTGGTTCCAGCTCCTAGCCGCCCTGACTGTGAAGTAGTTTTTTCGGATGTCCAATCTGTACCTCCTCTCCATCAACTTGTGCCCATTACTCCTTGTTATGCCAGCGGGGGCTAGGGGAAACAGCGTCTCCCCCAAACCCTTCTGGTTCCCCCTAGTGAGTTTATAGACGGTCACCAGGTCCCCCCTCAGCCTTCTCTTGTGGAGGCTGAATAGGTTCAAGTCCCGCAGTCTCTCACTGTAGGGTCTGCCCTGTTGTCCCCGGATCATGCGGGTGGCCCTCCTCTGGACCCTCTCCATGTTGTCCACATCCCTCCTGAAATGGGGCGCACAGAACTGGACACAATACTCCAGCTGCGGCCTGACCAGCGTCGCATAGAGGGGGAGGATCACCTCCCTGGCTCTACTCGAGATGCACCTGTGGATGCACGACAAGGTCCGGTTAGCCCTGCCAACCATGACCTCGCATTGTCGGCCCATGTTCATCTTGGAGTCAATAATGACACCAAGATCCCTTTCCGCCTCCGTGCTCTCAAGTAGGGAGCTCCCCATCTTATAAGTGTGCTGCTGGTTCCTACTACCCAAGTGCAGCACCCTGCACTTGTCCGTATTGAAACGCATCCTGTTCCTGTCTGCCCACCCCTGTAACCTATCCAGATCCTTCTGCAATCTCTCTCTCCCTGCTAGCGTGCTCACCTCCCCCCAAATTTTGGTGTCATCAGCGAATTTAAACAGGTTGCTCTCCACCCCAACATCAAGATCGCTGATGAAGACATTGAACAGCGCAGGGCCCAGGACCGAGCCCTGAGGGACTCCACTACCCACCTCCCCCCAAGTCGAATATGATCCATCCACCACCACCCTCTGAGTGCGACCCTTCAGCCAATCTGCAATCCATCTGACCGTGTAGGCATCTATGCCACAGTCGCCTAGTTTACTAATTAGGATGGGGTGAGAGACGGTGTCAAAGGCCTTGCTGAAGTCCAGAAAGACTACATCCACCGCGACACCTGTATCCATGGCCTTTGTGACCTGATCATAAAAGGCAATCAGGTTGGTCTGACATGATCTCCCCCTAATAAATCCATGCTGATTGCCCCTGAGCATCATCTCGGATGCCGGCCCATCACAAATGTGCTCCTTGATGATCTTCTCAAAGAGCTTCCCCAGGATTGAGGTAAGACTGACGGGCCTATAATTGCCCGGGTCCTCCCTTTTCCCTTTTTTGAAGATGGGGACCACATTAGCTACCTTCCAATCGTCTGGCACCTGGCCCAAGCACCACGATCGCTCGTAGAGCCGTGCCAGGGGCCCTGCAATAACCCCAGCCAGCTCCCTCAGCACCCTGGGGTGGAGAGCATCCGGACCCGCTGACTTGAACGCGTCCAGCCCCTCCAGAAGCTCTCTTCATAGCCAGCATTGATCAAAAATAATAAATCTGATGATAGGAAAAGGTGGGCTGGGCTGTAAAGTGTACCAGTCACTGCCAGTGGCTATGTTATGCTGTGGATTAGAGGCTGGCCACACCAACATGGCAACTCTGCCAGACACAGTGAGGAAGGCCCATGGGCTGGATGACTTGCCTCCACAAGCCATGGATTTGACACCCCTAGTACACATCAACACATCTTCATTTTTTCTTTACTCTTTAATGAACAGCTGTAAAATATGTATGGACCAGGTGCAGTAACATAGATACAACATGGAGAGCAGTGAGCTAAGGTACTGCCCTGATTGATAAATGTTATTGTGTTTTCCATTATAAAAAAGAAAATCTGAATGATGATATTTGTGAAATCTTTAGTTGAATAAAACTATCTTTTGTTATCAAAAGAATTATTTGTTTTCTTAACTTCAGGTCCTGTGTGTGTTTTGGGGTAAATATGATTGTGCACCATTGACTAGAAATGGCACTGAAAATCTCTGAAGTTGCACACACAACTTCTCACACAATGTTTCCATTTTTAGAAAGGAATTTATGATGAAGCATTAAGCAGTTTCTTTAGAAATGTGGATACCAGGTAAGCTTTACTGTTTCTGGAGAGCTTTTTGAAGTTTAACACGGTAATGTTTATTTGAATTGATTTCAGTATTTGCTCTTGCCTTGAACAAGGAAGTGCAGTTTTATCTTTGTTTCAGGTCAAATTACTATTTTGTGGTAGAAAGTGTTCCTACTATCTTTTACTTTCTACTTTCTGTTTGATACATTGTGTTTCTCCTCCTCCACTTATTACTCTACTTCCCTTGCTATTCTAATGTGTTGAAAACCGTTTTTCCTTCTCCCTCCTTCCCAAAAGAAAGGCAGTCAAGACTTGATGACTCTGCAGGTCTTATAAATCTTCATTTTAAAAAATTATTCTGCTACCATCTCTATCAGGTCCAAATACAAATAATGGCCTCCAGCATTTATTGAAGAGTTTTATAAAAGGAATTCACTTAAGAATCACTTTCTTTGATGCAGAAGTTGAGAGAATTTTCTTGACCTTTTCTGTCTTGAGCACAAAGGTAGTTAAGGTAGAAAAATGCGTTTCCCACGAAGTTGCCACCCTGCTATTTTCTTTCTGTCCATTCTTACAAGCCCTGTATACTGCAGTGTACTAAAAGGACTAAGGTAGTTATGCACTTATTGCTGTAGTAGGATATTGTCAACTCTATTTTAGCAGTCATTATATCATAGGTAAGTTTGTATTACAGAGTACAATTTTAACATGAGCTATAAAACTTTGAGGGGTTGGCATTGAAATGACAAACCAAAACATAGTAGGTGTATCTACACATGTGCTTTACTATGGAGTTGACCAATTAGCTCCACAGTAAAGCATCATCATCTACATGTCTGCCCAAATTGGGGTGCAGTAAATTAACTCCACTGTAGGATAATACTGTCCGGGACAAGTACTGTCCTATGGCAGAGTACTTTACGCTGCCAAAAAAGCACGTGTAGACAGTGACTGGGGCTGGCTGAGGCACAAGGGTAATACAGTGCGGGGGCTGTAGCCAGCCCAGACACTACCACACAGAGCCTAGGGCTGACCCCCCGGGGCCTCCGTAAACACTGAACCCAGAAGCAGCTGACTGTGGCACAAACTGCTCTGGAATTTATTGCATTAGGATAATTGCACATATAGCTGCACCGAGTGAGTGGTTGTTTTGAGTGCTTGCTTGGATTTTAGATCATTTCAGTTTTTACCTCTTCATAAAACAGCTTAAAAGCTTTTGGACCCATCCTGTGGTTCCACTACTGCTGCTTGTGTGTTGAATCCTCAAATATCATTTATATTATTAGTGTTTGTCTACAAATTGTAGTTTAGCCTTATGTTTATAATAGGAAATGTAGACCATGATGAAGCTGATATATTTTAATTTGACACTTGTACCACAGTACAAGCATCATTTCTCTGTTATGTAGAGAAGTATATGAAAAGACTTCAAATCTTGTAGTTTCAGTTCAATACCCTGCCTGGCAATAGTTTTGAAACCAATTTAGAAAATAATTTAGGGAAAAACTGCTAAATGCTCCCTTGCCCGTTTAAAAAAAAAGTTGACACGGACCTTATGCAATGTTATTGTAGACACAGAACCCAAGTCTTAACACGGGGAAACTCCAGTCCTCTGCATTGCACTTCAGACTTTCACAGTCATTGCGCTAATCTGGGTTATCCTGTCTTTGATCACTGTAAACCACACTGCTCTCCCAGAACCAGGGATAGAATCCAGAAATCTGATCAGTATTGTACTAATGAGTCCTGATTGTGTTACACATCAGTAAACTGCTCTTCTCCTGTCTGGTCTGGAAAGGAGCTGACAATTATTTACTTGTTCAGCTTTTAATGGTATTAAGCCAGGGATCTGAAGTGCTGGCAATTTTAATCTTCTAAGTCAAAGGTTATCAACCGTTCGTACGTGTACCCCCAGGGGTACTTGGGAAGGCCCTAGGGGTTACGCACAGGCGGGCAGGGATGGAGTGCTGCCACCCACCACCCCACGCCACCACCTCCCAGGAGCAGGGCCGGGGGAGTGGCGGGGGGAGGGCAGTAGCACTCCTCTGCGGGCTGCACAGGTGCCACTTGGCTAGCTGGACACAGCTGGGGGCAGAACTCGCACGTAGCCCCCCCCCTTCCCCCTCCCACTCCGTGTCCATCCATGCCCCTCCTCAGCCCCCACTCCACGTCCAGCCACACACCACCCACCTTCCCCGCCCCACCCCGCCCTGCCCCCCATGTCCGGACACCGGGGGTACACTTATTAAACAAGTTTGAAAACCCCTGTTCTAGGTGGAAAGATGTGTGATTGCATGTAATTTAGACAGTGAAAAGACCACTTTTAAAACAGGTTTTTCACTTGCTATAAAATATAATCTGTAAATAACAATCTTAATTTTTATTTGCACTTAACATTCCAGTTGCTTCTCACACATTATGCTTATGTCAGTGATTGTATTATGTATTCTCTCTCATTCCTTCTCTATCAGAGAATATGAGAATGTGGACACTACAAAGCCACTGTTGCTATAGCTATTTCAGCAGAGCCACTTAGTGAAGTGGCATCATATGCCAACAAATATTTTATGCCAACATAGCTATAGCACTTCCCCTAACAACATGAGCTAAGCCAAAAAAAACAACCCTTTTCTTTGGATACAGCAGTGTCTTATACAGGGGGGATTTTGTTAGCTTATCTGTCAGCCAAGAGGAGTGACCTTTTCATACTTTACTTCTAGAACATAACGGTAGTGGCAAAACACTATTGTGTTATCCAGGACTGGGAATGACTACACATAAAATTAATTTAACTGACTAAACTCCGGCGTAGTTCATACCAGGGTTTATTGCTCCCGGGTGTCGTGTTTATACATGTGCCCAGGATTGCAGCACATTGAACTGTATCGGAACAGCCCTAGCTAACAGTGGGCCTGGAGGGCCAGCCTGCCACCCAGGGCTGCTGTAACCCAGCTCAGTTTGCTACGGAGGGGTTGTCTGGGGCACAAACATGCTCCAGTGCAGAGCTATCTGGCAGGCAACTCCTGTGTTGAAGCACCTTCATGCCCCCTGCCAGCCCTGTCAGCCTAATGCCCCAGCCAGCTGTCTACAGGCATGTTGCAGCGCACTAAACAATGCCACTGTCCTAGTTTGCTTGTGCGGCCATACGGCTGAGAGCAAGTGGAACTTGGAGGCATCCGGACCCCAACCCTCTGGGCTGGAGCTGGAGCTGGAGCAGAGGTAGGTGCCGCACAGCTGGGGCGGAGTGCAGGACAGATCCAGGAGCGACTCGTCTGGAAAGCGCAGAGAGGGGAGGGGCTCCCACCACTGCGCACACCCCGGGAGGGCATGAGGGGCATGTGACCCTAGATCTGTGCACGGGGCAAAGGCAGGCTGCCACTGCAGGGTGGGGCCAGGTGCAGCGCCAGGGTCTTCCCGGCGGGAGCTGGGCTAGGCGGCGCTTGGGGTGGGTGGCAGCAGCGCTGGGAGGGGGCTACAGGAGAGGCTGCAGCCACACCAGAATTCACCGTAGCACCCCCCAGCCCCTCCCAGCGCAGCCCAGACCAACACCCCTACTGGGAACAGACTGGCGCAGGCCCAGTCCGCAGTAGCAGTCCAGCCTACCCTGCATGCAGATCCAAGGGCACACGCCACCCCATGCCTTCCTGGGGTGCACGCAGAAGTGGGAGTCACTCCTGCCCCGCACCCCCTGGACAAACCACTCATGCCTCCGTCCTGCATTCCACTCCAGCTAGGCAGTACCTGCCCCAGCCCCACTCCCTCCCTCACCATGGGGTCCTATGGGAGCAGCGCTGGGGGGGGCTACAGCCACTCCAGAATTCACTGTAGCCCCCTCAACCCCCTTGCCCAGCCCAGCCCAGTGCCACACGAAGAAGAGCCCAGTGCTGGCCCAGCTGCAGCCCACAGTACTAGCCTGCCCCGCCCTGCGCACAGATCTGGGGGCACAAGCCTCCCATGCCTTCGCAGGGTGTGCAGGCTGCGCTGCAGCTGCACACACGCACACGGCAATTATTGGCCACATCAGTTCTGCATACTCCCTACAACCCTTTTAAGTACCCCTAGGGGTACGTGTACCCCTTGTTGACAACCACAGCTTTAAGGTATACTTGTAAATTCTGCCAGATTTTGGAGCTATACTGGTTTCTGATTTGTCTGTTTCAGAAACAAATTTAGAGGTGGTTTAGAACCATCCCTGAGTTCCTGCATTGAGAATAGTTCAGCCCAGACCTGCGGTTCTGGTCCCACAGATATCAGATATGAATTGAAATTCAACACGTTGCTAATCAGTGCTTGTATTTAGTAGAATATAGAGGTGATTCTGAGGTACACTTTTAATAATGATCTCAGCTTCTGGGTGAGGTTACCCTTAAAATATATATTGGAATAATATTCTGTTATTGCTGTTTATAGGGGAAATGTAAGATTTTAGCTAGCAGCGTGTTGTATTTGTGAGCTGGTTTTGTTGGTTTACATTGAAACAAACGTCCTTTGAAAAGAAGAAATCAATGCAGAAATGATGTTATAGGCAGACAAGGTTCCTTCGTCAGGTTTTTGAACCCAAAAGCTTGCTTAATAACTATTCTCCAACCATTTGGGTTGGTCTAATAAAAGATATCAAATTCACCCAAGGAACCTTGTCTGCCTATATCCTTAGACCAACACGGCTACAACCTAAACCCCGGCGAAATGATGTTATGGCATTTGTTGTCTTGCTTCCTATATAATGGTTTTGATCTTGAAAAACACATTTTCTTTTCCAGAACTGATGGTGATGGTATTGATATTTACAGAGGAAAAATCTGCTCTCTAAAAGCACGAGTAAGACAAATTTGAAAGGTCATTTCTTATATATTGCATTCTCTGTCTGATAGGAAAGGAGTCTTGCTTTCCGCCTTTCTCCTTTTTCTTATAAATGTGTACAAGTCTTTCAATTGTGCCTAAAGCTGAAATTTCCCACATTGTTGTATCTGTATTAGAGTACAGCTTTCAGTAGTGATTTCTAACATAATTTTGTAAAATGATTGTGCAGATTATAAGTGAGATTCTTGTTTAGGGTTTAAAATTTTTTTAAGTAAAGTTTTATTTTTTTATGTGAGACTGTTAACCAATTTTTAAGCAGCAGCATATGGTTAGTTTTGTTACTGAGTACTTTTCATTATTATTTTTGGTCTTTAAGATTTTAAACAATAAAAAGAAAAGTTATAATAATTGAAACTGTGTTTCACTAAATTTTTGTTTTCTAACAAAGGCAAGCAGAATGAATTTTTCTGGAGTTGGCTCCTCAATCTATAATGTATCTTTTAAGAAAAAAAATCTGTCTGGGCCTGAAAATTTGAAAAAAAAACAAGACAGGTTTTTATCTTGATAATGCATTCATTCTCCTTGTTCATTTCTTTAAAAGAGTGGCATTCTGACTGAATAGAAATTCTTTTCCTTTTCTCAGGCACTCTTGATTGACATGGAGGAGGGTGTAGTAAATGAAATTCTACAGGGGCCATTGAGAGACGTGTTTGACAGCAAGCAGCTTATCACAGATGTTTCTGGATCAGGGAACAACTGGTGAGAATACGTTCTGCAAACTCTTTTTTCATAAGGCATTTTTAAGTACTAATTAGATGGCAGCTGAAAAGGGAACGATAGCAATAGCTGTCTAGTAAATTCTATTGCACCTGGGGGAGCGGCAGCATATTATCGGTGAACTTTACAGTTGCCATTGCCTTGAAGAGAGCTTTGAAAAGCTTTTTATATAAAGATCATTTTGCTGAAGTATCATTTGGCTGTTTCTCCTTCCCCTCTTGAAAAATGCACACTGGGATCATGATTCTTAGGCATCCATTTGCTCCACGTGCTCATTCCTCATTGAAAGTTATAATGTGGTTTGGGACACTGTAAAACTACTGTAGAAACTGTGTGTGGAATGACTGATAGGAACAGATGGACTTCTGACTTCCAAGTAACAGCTCTTCCCTTTGTCCATACACACTAAATCACAAAAAAGGAAAAATTCAGAATAAAATAGATCAACAGAAAATATTTTAATTTTTTTTCTTGGATGATAGCAAATAGTTAATAATACTCCAGGGCATTTATACACATACTTTTTTTCCAGTGACATGCCAGAGATCTGCTGCTTCGAAGCAGACTCTATTAATCGATTCTGCTCCACATGTGAGCTAAGGCGAACTGCACTGCGCCACATGCAGTTGTGTAAGCGGCAAAATGTGCATCAGCGCGCAGAAAATGGCTGCAGTGCACTTTTGAACTAAGGCAGACAAGGTTCTTTGGGTGAATCAGATATCTTTTATTAGACCAACTTAAAACACACCTCCGAGGTGTATTAGTTCAAAAGCGCACTGCCACCACTTTCTCAGCACTGACATATTTCACCACTTATCCAACTGTGTGCGTTGCAGTGCCAGGTACTTTTCAAAGCGTCCAGCACTGCGATGCATACACGTGTAAAAATGCTCCCATTCACTAAAGAATGTGTGTGTATCAGCAAATATAAAAACCATAGGGGTAGTGAATCCAATAATATTGACAAAATTAATATGTTAGCTGTAGTAGAAGTGACCCTGCTTTTACCAGAAATAATGTTTGTTAACTACAAATTCTCTTATTTTGGGGCTCTTCTATTAAAGATGACTGAAGATGATTAAATGTATTAAATAGTCCCTTTTTATAGATGTTGAATTTTCATTGATAGGAATAGGTTGAAGAGAAAAGCTGTTTCTTCTTCTTAATTCGTGAAGAAAAACTAATAAAGTAGACCAACAAGCATCCATATCAGATCCAATTTCATAATTTTTCATGCAGTTCAGTCTTCTAACATTGCAATTTGTTTTTCCTTGAGAGCAAAATACTGAAAGCAAATCTGCAGCAATGCACACAGTTTAGAACAGGAGAAACCACTGTAAAAAAAAAAAAAAAACTAGGTTAACTTTTTCTTAAGCACTTCTTGTATTTCCAGGGCTGTAGGTCACAAACTGTATGGCTGTCAGTACCGGGAGAATATTGTGGAAAAGCTGAGAAGGACTGCAGAACATTGCGATTGTTTGCAGTGTTTTTTTGTAATTCATTCCATGGGAGGAGGTAAGCATTTTTCGTGGTCAAAATGACTACCAACATTAGAAGTAGAAAGGAACCCATATCTTGAAAACATTTCACTTTAATAAGCTAAGATTCTGATAAGGATTTTTTTTAAATAAACAAAATCCCTGTAAGACTATTCTAATATAATTTATCTTAACATCTTGCCTCCAGAGCCTGAGTCAGGGACCAGAATTGCATCATTAGCACATTAAAATGTTTTTACAATCTAAGTCTGGTACATCCCCATTATAACGAAGCCGCACACCATTGTGAGAAAAGTTTATTTAAAGGAGGAGTTCACTGTAACACAATTAATTTACTGCATATAATAATGAAAAAAATGGTTCCCACTTTTGTTCAGTAGTGCCTGTTGGAAAACAGGGGTTGCTATAAAAAGGTTTTGTTATACACCATGTAACCTCATTATAAGATAAGAGCCAACAAATAGATTAAAAAAGATATGGGAGTACAACGAAAGAATGAAGCAATATACCATATTTGCTCAAATATGAGATGCTCCCCCCCCCAGTTAGATTCTTTACTTGGAAAATGTATAAATTGTTATAATTTTCCAGGTATAGAATCTAATTATAGGAGGTTTGCCTTGAATTTGTCACTTTCCCACTGCTACAACAGGGAAAATAAATCTGGGGGGAGAGGTGGAGTTAGGTGCCCCTCTTGCTCCCTGCTCCCCCAACTTTTTCCTCTCTGTAGCCTTTTCCCTTCCCTTACTGTCAAACCCTGCTCCACCTGAGTACATGGAAGTAAGGAGCAAATGTGAAAATACTGACTTTGAAATAAATATGCCTCGGTACTCATATATTTAGTTCATCCAGTTTTGAAACTGCTGCAAGTTTTAGCATTGGTACTCCATAAACACACTTTTAAGCACTGCATGTGTGTGTGTGTATGTACACATATTGTACAAGCTATACATGATATTCGTTCAAAGCTAAAAGGCTTGTGACTTAGCATATAGTTCATTGGGCTGGGTTCCAGGAGAAATATTTCAAGCTGTGGTGATCCCATAGCTCAGCATTGCTTAGTATGTGAACACTCCAGATGATACCCCCATCAAAGGAGCCATGTGTTAATTAGCCCCTCACTCATGCCTGGAACTAGGTGTTCCTCATGCTGGTTTGCGGGGGGGGAGTCTCATCTTATATTTGAGTAAATATGGTAATGGTCAATGTGATAAGCAATGGTTTCTGGACAGCCTTACAACTGTCAAGGGATTTTTTGCATGAAAGGATTGTTTTAAGGAAGGTTTTGAAGAAGAAGAATGAGGTAGATGAATTTTTTCTCTTCTCCTTCCACAATAGGTTTTCTTACAACCTTTTTGTATTTTTTTTAATCACTAATATGAATGAATTTGTTCTCTTAATACTTTTTCTTTATAAATGAATCCCATGTAAACCTCATTTTAACAGCAAAATTGTCACTGTATAATGGTACCAAGCCAAAGAAATCTTGAACACTTTCAGTGCTTTTACACTGAATAAGCATTTTAAAAGGTTATGGTTTGAAAACTGACTGAAGTTGCAAGTCGTATTGTATATGTTTGTGCACTGTGTCTTCAGTGCCATCTGCTTAATTTGAGAGAACCTGTATATCATTGCTGTCAGCATTGGAAAAAAGCAGCTATGTTCTCTTCATCTTTCAGCCTAATAATTGAACTTGCCGGCTGTTGAGATGTCAGAATATTAACTGTCCAAAGCAGAAAATTCACTGTTTAATTTTTAGATCTCTGATATGAACCTAGTGCTGTCAGAAAAAAGAATAAAAATAAGTTCTGACTCGAAAATTGAACAAACTTAATAAGTAAGCCACTGAAAGGAAAACTAATTTGGAACACCAAACAGTAGCATTTCCAGTCATCTTGCTATTGTGCATACAAATTGAATTGTACAAAACTAATAATGGTGCTACACTGGTTTACTCCCCCCCGCAAGATGATGTATCTACACTTAAAAGTTTAAATGCTCTTTGAACTGCCCTAGTGTACTACTTGCATCTGTGTTTTAGGCTTGAGGAAACTGTTGATCTGCTAAGTTCTAAAAATTACAAAGCCAAATCTTTTTATAAATATTCATGCTTACATTTTGGACGCTAATATTAGCTAGACAGCAGGAAAGCTGTGGTCCCACAAGAAATGTTCCATAAAACATTACGGGGCACCTTCAAAAGAGCTTGCCACTGAGGCTGAACAGAAAGCTTTTAGTGTAACATTTTTGTTAAAGTCCCAGTTCTGGGTTTGCAAAACTTTTGTTTGGAAATAATAAACCTTAACATATTTCCAGTTTCAATGTTGTAAAAATGAACTCGGGAGCGCAGCAGTGCTGTGGGGGCTTGCAGGGCTCTGGCCCAATCCAGACCTCAGTGCTGCCACGCACAGCCTGCCGCAGCTCTGCTTGCCCCGCAGCACAGCACCCTCGCTGGGAAGGGGCTTGCGCTCCCAAACATTATGACAGGGCCAACAAGGGCCCTGGCCCTCCACTGCAGCAGCAGGACAGGGGCACAGCCAGACGGGGCCCCTTGGCAGGCGGGGATGGAGGAGGAGAGCAGGGACGGGGGTTATGCAGACCCAGCTGCCAGTGGGGGTAGAGGGGAGACTAACTCTCCTCCCTGCCCCGCTCTGCCTCAGAGGTCATGGTGCCCCACTGCTGACTCGGGTCCCTGCCAGTGGGATAGAGAGGTGGGAATTAAACCCCTCTCTGGCCAGGAGGGCTAAGGAGCAGAGGGGCAGTGACTGGGTGTGGGGGGTCCCCCCACAGCCGATCCTGCCAGCCCTCAACTGGCAGTGGCGTGCCGCTGGCACTTGCAAGTCAGTGGGATTGGCCACCTAGGGACTGCTTCTCCTGGCACACTCCCCGGCCAGTGCTCTCAGGGAGGGCACCAGCACTCTCACTTAAACCGGTTTGAGCCAAATCAGTTGAGTCTGATACTACGTTCAACCAGAATTATCTCAAACTGGTTTCAGCTATTCTCAAACTGGTTTATGTGCACTGAATGTCTGTTCTGTTACAGGTTTAAACCAGTTTCTGATCACTTAAACTGGTTTATGTGTAATGTCTATTTCTAGCCTGAAAGTTAAGCATGTAGATTGATTTGAACTATTTTTTCTAGATGTCTGATTTGTAAGCATTTTTAAAGATTTTTTTTTTAATTCCCATTCCAATTTGAATAAAAAAATATTTTGCAGTATCAAATTTTCACTGGACAGGAAAAGTATTTCCTCCCCAGCTCTACCTAACACTTGTAGCTTAGATCACT